AGAAAATAAGGAGGTGGTCTTAATTTGATGCCACAAGTTTCATCTTCAGTCAGCTAAACCTAATGATTTTATATTACCTCATTTTCCCCTACTGTTTTCTACATTATTTGCTCAATGATCTGCATATTTTCTTTGCAGTCCCTTACACTAATAAACCTGTTACCAGGAGTTAGTTTCCTTCTCCAGAGCTTGAATTTGTAGCAAACTTTCATTTTTAAAATAAATTACCGTGTTTTCAAGGTCTGCATTTCAGAATTGAGACAAATATAGATATTGACCCGCAAACATTGGCTACAAAACATTACCCCGAAATGATGTGACATCTTCAGGCGTAAGCAGCAGACTGTGTAGGTGAATATTTCACACCACAGTCACTTCAGCTTAGTCTCACTTCTTAGGAAGCTATTTAAGTGATACAAGGAATAGTTGTCAATACTATACATTGCATATAAGCTTCTTTTCTGTAAGTATTCTACATTTCTTCTGCTCTGAAGAGCTTTGAAGGAAGAATCTTTTGGTGGAATTCATCTGTGTAATTTTTTTCCCCCTTCAAGCACAGTATTTCCCTAAAGTCTGCCATATATCAGCATTGGTGACAGAAAATTAGAAATTTGACCTACTTATGATGTTGTATGCAGGTTCCCATCAGGAGGGTATTAAGGAAGACATAAACCTTTCATATTTTATTAGCATTAATGTAACCATTGAAGAAAGATCAAAACAATAAATCTGCCAACACATGAGAAAAATTCTCTTACAAAAAAAAGTTTTTGCCTCATGCACTTGTCAACTTTCATGCTGGAGGAGCTCTTCAGATAAAAAATTGTATTATGACACCAAATAGTGTTTTTTTTCCTTCTCTTCGCCAGAGTCATCTCTGTGGTAAAAAGTATTTCTGTTCCAAAGTGTGCCCGTAGGACAAGGATTATAATGAAAAGAATGAATAAAGCCTTGCAATCATGAGTTTGGATGATGCCTCAAAGGTTTCTGAGAGCCAGCGGTCTGAAGATTTTGTATGAAAAAAGATGGGACTGTGTGGCCTGATGTGTAGCTGCTTGTGTATTTTGATTTGTTTCTTAAAGGTTAAGTAGTGTTATGATTGATGGCAGATACTCTGAGGCTTACTCTAGTCAGTAGGGCGTCCAGATCCCACTTGTATTGGGTGCCCACGTTGTGAAAGTGCAGTACTAAGTGACGTATTACTCTTCTTCTTCTGCTGTACAACTTACAGATGACTTAATATGCAATTCTAAACAGCCGGATTTTAAAACATTTTCATGCAACTTTAAGAAACCTGGAAAAAATCAGTGGAACTGTGCGACTGCGCTCAGTTAATTTTTAATTGTGCAGTAGAGAGGGTAGTAGAAACAGGCAGGTAAAATACAGCAATGATAAAATCAATTCGTAAGTTATATCCATAAGGTGGTGAGTTTTTAAGTACTTTATTTCTCAGTAGCAGTTCATGAGAAACGTGCATCTTTGATACTCTGTATAGCTCTGTGTGCAGATAGCTCACATTTTATGAGGATATCTGTCCTGGAGGGTGTGGTGGTGTTTGTGTTGTGTGAGAATACAGCAGCTGTCTCATTGCTCTGTGCTTTTTCTAGTTTAAAATTTGAGTGTAGAAGATGCGAATAATTCTTCTGCTGCTTGAGCAAAGCCATGGAGCAGGTGTACGGTCCTTTGGGAAGGTTCGGGTTTATTGATGTGCTTACACTAAGGCCTGTGCTCGATTGTAGCTGTGCCAGAAATCGAAACACTTTGAGGCTGGACCTATACAATCAAGAGGACGGCCTTTTAGGAGTTACAGAGAGGGCAGGTTGTGGGAATAGAAGTACGCAGATTTTCAGCCAGAGCCAAAACCAAGAAACCATTACTTTTGTAAGATCATTTTTCATCAATCTTTGTGTTAAGTAAGGACAAAAAGACCTGGTACACTACCAATTAGATTTTTTTTTTTAAATTTATTTATTGCTCTTAAGTGTTAATCTAGTGAGCAAAAAATATACAAAAGATTATTGAAGGGGATTTATAACATTAAAACAACTTTGAGTTGTGTTTTTTGTTGGTGTTCCAAGGGCCTTTAAAGGTGTTCTTTAGTGTTTGACTTCTGGAGGGCATTGTGCTAGAAATGCAACCTTCTTGGAGCTCTCTCACCAACAGGAAATTGATGATAGAACAGCCTTCGAGCAGCAGAATAAATCGCCCAGCCCTGGCAATAATAGTGCCCATTAGGGACACTCTTTTTTCTTTTTTCTCCCCTGCTCAGTTTCCAGCTGTACTAATAGAAGAGCGCATCAAGAAAGGCTGTAAATAAAAGTTATAACCTAATAGGTGGGCATTGGAGTGGAACGGACAGGAGCTGAGACGTGGAGGCCTTATTACGGCTCATCAGCAATTATAAACAGAATAAAGTGTCTGGGACTTGCACTGATGCAACAGGAGCTAATAGAGGCTGGGAGATGACACTGTGCCATGATCAGATGAAGTATGTTGATGGGTTTTTGCTATCTCATCTTATTGCCTATTTCTGTGGTGTGTTGTATTATCTGTTCTGTGCTTCCGTATCTATCTGGATGGACAGATTGGTTTCCTCCTCTGCTCAAAGGAGCTTGAGCACATGTACTCAAGCTTGCTTTTTTTGTACATACACTTTGCATTATGTGCCAGTACTGGTTATCTAAGAGCCTTCTCAAAGTGTTATGGTTGTTGTAGATTAAAATCCTCCTAATGGTAAGGATCATAATAGTCATATCTGTAAACAAAGGTAAGGACTTGCTGCAACTGTAGGATTTATTTTCACTATCACCTTGTTCAGCTGTAGAAAATCACCCTCATTCATTAAAATTAGTGGATAAGGTCACCTGAACGATCTTTTACACTGAATATATCACATGCATTTTAGACTAAATGTGTTCTAACTAGTGTGGTTGGAGAATCCAAAGAGATGGACTTGGGCTTAGTGTATCAAAAAGTTTGTTGAAATTCAGCTGTAGCTGTGACAGTCATTGCCTCCGCAGTATAAAAACTTCGGCTGTTCCTGGGAAGGTTTTTAAGAGCTTGTTAGCACACAGTAATTGGTAATATTCACAAAAAAAGTCTTTCTTGATCTTTTGTCTGTCACAGTCTAGCACATTTTTGTGCTAGACATCTAAATCATCTCTTTCCTAAACCACAGTGGGGAAAAAAATGCCTTGAAATTTAGCCTTTAATTGCTTTAATCTAAAGAGAAGTTTTGCAAGCGTCTTCAGAGTTCATACATTAATCGCACATGCTGTTTACTTCTGAAGAGAATTTTCTTCTGACGTGGAAAAAATACACCATTCAGAAATGAAAAGGTGTGCAGCAGCATGACAGCATATGAAAACAGTGACTCCTATCCTTGTCTATGCAGTACAGCCAGGATAAAATAAATAGATTATTTTTCTATCATCTTATGCTCTTGGGACACAAATGCTTACATCTGCCGGTGTTAAAGTACACTAAACT